TACTTTTCTGAAGTCCTCCTGGTACTGCAACACCGGGGCTCGGGGCTCGGGCGAGTGGGGATGCACGTGGCGGGGTGGGGAAAGGTGGAGCAGAACGTTGCTGGATGATGGTAAAATTTTGCTACGGGGGATGGGGGGATGGGAGTGATCAAGGGGTGGGGGGCGGGGGATGAAGGGCAAATTGATTCCTCAGGGAGCGTGCGGAAGGGTCAGAACAGCACGAACACGACATATGGGTGATGTAAGTGTCATTGTAAGTGAGTAGGGGGTCCCCCCTTAAAAGACAGGAATTGTCTAACCCCCTTTCAGGGGGGGTTCTTTTCCTTTCCTCCAGTTATTTCCCCCCACGGGGGACATGGACGACCACATGGAGTCCGCGGGAAGACCGCCCAACCGGATGATGATGCGCAAATTACCCGCAATGCACAAATTAAAACACATGCATACATACATACATACATACATACATACATACATACATACATACATACATACATACATACATACATACATACATACATACATACATACATACATACACATATACAGGGTTTGGCACTACTGGTAACGCGCGACCATTGCCCCCGGGAGATCCCGGGATCGAGACCCGTTAGAGTCAAAAATCCTTCCGATGGTGGAAGGTATTGCGTCCCTAGTTGATGGACGGTGGTGACCTGGGATAAAGTTAACCTGCGAGCCGACCAGGAATGGAGTTGGGCCGCTGTCGACCCGGCAGATTCCGTTGGATGCTGGTGGTGGGTGCGGAACCTGAGCGCTCCACTGAGAATGAGAAGTTGACTAGGGTGACTGGATGAGGGTGCCCCGAAATACCGGGGAAGGCAGGGTTTCGCAGGGTAGCTGCCACGGGCGAAGATACACCCTCCTGCTTCACACATCATACACAATAACACACAGCTCTAACCCCGCCTCCTGATGTTTGGGGCCCCTACTCCACATAGTGATATCCAAGTTGATATTGGTTCCCCCCGTCGTACTCCGTACGCATGACGCTCTCTCCAGGGAGGAAGGAATGTGGATCTCAACGTGGCCGCGGCCCTGGCGGCGGGTCTGGAGTGGCCGGTCAGTGGTGCCAACTTCTACAACCGCCGCGCCCGTACAATTCTCCGGGTACGTCATTGACTATCTGCGCCTCTATCTGTACACCCGTACATCCGTCCGTAAAAACTCATGTCGTACGTTTCTTTGTGTTTATGTACGGCAGGGACTTGGCGGGAGAGGGGGTTTAGGAGCTGAGCCCTCAGCTGCTCCCCCGCCTTCTCCGTGTTTCGCATGTGTTTCCCCGCCTTTTCCCCTTTTTGAAAATCATCCCACTCCCCCTTTGCGGTTCGTCTTTCCCCCCTCGCCTCCCCCAACCAGGCTATATGTCAGCGGCCTGCGGAGACGCTCCTGAAGAACCAGACCGCCGCCGCCGCCAAGCTGGCGGCTGTGAAGGCGGCCGTAGCCGCCGCGGACGCAGCCGCCGTGGCCGCTGCTGCTGCTGCTGCAGCTGCTGCTGCACAGCCGGAAGGTGGCCCACGCGAAACGGACCCCTCCTCTCCCCCCGTCGGCCGCCGTACCGGCGGCAAGGGAGCTGGCGGCGGCGGCGGCGGTGGGGCGGATGCACGAGCAGCTTTTGCGGCGAGTGGCGGCGGCCGCGGAATGGTGCGGGAAGGGGACGGGGGGAAGGGGCGAGGGGAAGGGGGGAAGGGGAAGGGGGCAAGGGGCGAGGGGAAGGGGGCAAGGGGATAAGATGCTGCGATTTCTGTGGCCTTCGCGGTACCGTTGAACGGTATTTGGTGGATCCTTTTTCCTTTCCTCCCCAACCCACGTCCAACTAATGTAATGGACTTTTGCCCATCAGAAAGTCAACCAGTCAATTTTAATACTTCAATGGAGAGTCAATGTACGAATCGATTGCTTTTTTAAAACTGATTATAAACTTTAAAATCTTTCCTCTTGCGTGAGAGGAGTGAAAAGATCTAATGACCGTTCCTTTCAAGTGCCCATCCGCTCAATGCCTTCACTCAAAACCCTAAAACCCCTTCTCCCCCCCCCCCACACACACACATTCACACACTCCTGGTCGCAGGGCCTTCTGAGCAGCATGAGAATGTCCAGGGGCAGGAGCCGGCGAAGAGGTAGCGACGATGACGATAATAGCGACGGCGGGGGAAGCGGTGGCGGCGGTCGTGCAAGAAGGCGGAGGTGGGTGATGGGTGGGTGGGTGGGGGGTTAAGGGGGCTATGGCGGCGGCTCGACGATGCCGACGGCGTAATGGGAGGTGGCAGGCACAAGGTGAGTTCAAGGATCGCTGTACAACTGCCGTACAACGGCTGTACAACATCCCCGGGGTGGGAAGAGCGGGAGTTGCTTAGGGTTAGCGGCAGCTGTCCGTACTCGATGTGCAGCTGCGGGCGCTAGAGGCCATGACGTTATTTTAAACCGGCTGCTTTGGTGTTTTATAAAGGGATTACAGGCGTTACGGTTGGCGTTACGGTTGGCGTTACGGTTGGCGTTACGGTTGGCGTTACGGTTGGCGTTACACGTAGGTCTGATTCGTCCGAGGAAGTGTTGCCTTGGGTCGTGAACGCCAAGCGTCGGGAGGAGGAGGAGCGGGAGCAGCTGAGGGCTCAGCTCCTAAGAGGAGCTGGCGGCGGCGGCTTTGGCAGCAGTAGCAGTAGCAGTAGCAGCAGCAGCGGCGGCGGTAGCAGCAGCAGCGACAGCGAGGGCAGCGAAGACAGCATCAGTTTCGGCGGCGAGGACGGCGACGACGTTTGGATATCACCCATGCTACAGGCCTGGCTTAAACAGGAGCACAAACTCCACCGCGCGAAACGGCGGCAAGGCTGTATTACGGAAGCGACTCCGCCGCCGCCGCCGCCACTGGTTCCAGCTGCGAGTGACGGCGGCGACGGTGGGTACGCGAGTGACGGCGGCGACGGTGGGGTGCATCGGCTGACGCCACGCACTCGGAACGTTGCCGCCGCCGGCGTCGGCAGCCTGGCGCGACGGGTCCTAGAGCGTTCGGTCCTGCTGCCGCCGGAGCTGGCGGCCATCCGGGACGCCGCCGCCGCCGCCTCTGCCACCGTCGCCGTCAGCGAGTCGCCGTCGCCGTCGCCGTTATCGCCGCCGCTGTTGGAAACGACGCCGCCTCGGAGCGCACGTAGCACGGATACAGGTTTCCCTGCCGCTGGCAGCGAGGCGGCGGTGTCGGCGGCGCCGACGCCGACGCGGATGATGCCGCCGCCGCCGCCGCCGCCGCTCACGTTAGAGAGCTCCTGGCCTTTAGGTTCGGTGGATACGCCATCTAGGGCTGGCGGCGGCGGCGGCGGCGAAAGTTTGGGGACACCCTTGAGTGGAGCCCCTTGGGCGCTTGGAACCCCCGGTACGGCACCGGCGGTGGAGGGAGGCAAGCCCCGCAAGCCCCGCCGGCGGATGCGCTTCGAGGATGAACAGGTACGGCATTTAGGGGATGTCCGCAGGTACGGCACATGTCTGCGGGGCGGCGGCGATGGCATGCTAAAGACGGGTTTGGAGAGGGGGATAGCGGGGGGAGTTGCTTGGTAGCGATTTCAGTTGTTGGTTGGTGAGTTGGTTGTTTGATTGGTTGGTACCGGTAGGGCGTGTCGTGTCACAGCGCTGTGTTGAAGCCAGCCAGTTAGCTGAGCAGTCCGCCAACTGGACAGGCACCAGCCAACCAGACGGCATGTTTCCTTGCCCTTGCCTTGCGCCTGCTGCTGCCGCGGCGGCGGCGGCGGCGGCGGCGGCTGCCATTTGCGCCGGTGAGCGCTCTTTCCAGGCATATGCAACGGTTGCCGGTTTTTACCATCCTGACGCTGTACGGCGACGGATTCTTTTTGTACTTTTCGCAGGATGCGGCAGAGACACCGACGGATGCCGGTGCCGACGCGGATAAGTCGACGCCAACGCCAGCGGGGGCGGCGGCGGCGGCGGCGGCGGGACCCGGCATGCTGGCGGCGGAGCCGTCGAACCTGTCGATAAACTCGTCCCTCGCCGGAGCAACCGCCGGCGGCAGCGTCGGCGGCAACGCCACCGCAGCGGCGACGCCGCCGCTGCTCAGAAGCGCCTTGTCGCACCCCACGGTAATGCCGGCGATGTACGGCACCTCTGGCGGAGATACCGGCAGTGTCAGGGAGGTTTCAACGGAGGACGGCAACGGCGACGACAGGAGTAGCCCGGCCGTCGTCGTGACTGTCGCTGGCCGTACATTTCCGTTACGATCCAGTTTAGCATCGGTGGAACTGAGCGGCCCAGATTCCTCTAGAACATCTGTTTCGGAGCTGCCGTCGCTGCCGCTGCAGCCGCCGGCGGCGGCGTTGGCAGCGGTGGGTACGGCGGCGGTTGGCGCTAACGAGCACCACGGCGCTCGGAATCATTACAGTGAGTCCTGGGGGGCTTTGGGTTTTGTATTGTACGGCACCTTTTATCCGTGGAGATGAATCATACTTAATTTTTTTGTTTCATTTTGTACGAACCGTGTTACCATTGTTGATTGTTCACCCCCATGCACGGAGAAGTAATTTAACACACTTTTTCTCACTGTGCCTTTTTCTCCTTTTTTGTCGGTTTTTTGCCTTATCGGAGCGCAACGGCGCAATCCGTGCCGTACCATCCATACACAATGCATAATCCGTGGTTGTCCACCCTATCAAAACTTTTGCTGGACTGTCCACTTCAGGTGCGCGTGTGTTGGAGCTGCCAGGGGCAGCATCGCCCGCCGGCGGTGTACGGTACTGGCCTGCCGTACCTGGCGCCAGTAGTGGCGCGTCGCCGCTGCCGCTGCCGCGCTCCTCCGTCACCAGCGTAACGTACGACGAGGAGATGCGGACGCCGTTTCGTCAGATCGGCGGTGGCGGCGGCGGCGGCGGCGGTCATGTGCCGTACCGCGACAGCGAAGTGGACGTACTTGATGCGGATGAGGCGCGAGAACTTATGGCGGCTCTGACTTTGGACTTTCGAAAAGTGAGTTGATGTTTCTTTTTCCATTTTCATTTCGACAGCTCCCGACAAATCCTTGGCATCCTCGGATCGGCGGATTCTCTTTTGTAATGAAATGAGTTTCTATCCCACAACATGTTTTGCTGGGTATTCGATGTTTGATGTTAGCGGTTACGCTGCCTGTTTGCGAATTTGGGATTGTCGCAATAAAAAATCGCGTCTGAAAAACGTTTTCAGACTGTTATATAGCATCCCGTTTGTAAGCTTGGAGACTCGGGAGGAGTTCTGGTTGTGCTGGATTGGTTGTGTTGGGGTTACAAACGTGATGCAAGAAAATCTAAGTTGTACGCCGTACGCCGTACATTTGCACCCAGGACGAGGCCTTGTACGACCTTCACGGGGGCCATGTGGCGGTGCGCCCGTCGACGAGCCACTTCCGAGCGGCGCTTGCAAAGATCCGTACGGAAGCCTCATCGCTGTTGCAGTCGTACAGTCTGCCGTCGTATCCGGCTTACAGCGGCGGTGCTGCCAGCGCCGCCGCCGCGCCGTCGTCGTCGTCGACGGCGGCGGCGGCGGCGGCGGTGGCCCCCCCGGTAGTGGCCGTAGCACTGCATCCGCGGCCAGCGTCACCGCCGCCCACAGGCCCTTCTTTTTTGACGGCAACGCTGTCGGGTACGACAGCGGCGGCGGCGGCGGCGGCGGGGCCTATGCCCCGTGGCCATGCAAGGACCAGTATCGGCGGTGGCGGCAGCGGTGGTGCCGGCGCCAGCATGGATTCTGGCGGCGGCACAAGTACGACAAATACGCGGGCCCGCGACGGCGGGCGATCCGTAAAGCAGGTACGCTGGTTTTTCACCTGTCGTACTATGCGCGTTAAAACTTCGGAGCCAACAGCTCGTGACATTCTCACGTCTGTGGCCACATGTGTGGTTGCATGTGTATATGCGTTTGTATATATGTCTGTATGTCTTAGGGTTCTTCACGTCATCCTGAACGGGTTCAGGAGCTGTTCCCGGGGGGGGGGGAGGTTCATTACGGATGGAATGGAACAGTAGTACGGGAAAGTGATGAATGATGATATTCTCCTTCAATGAAAAGCACGTGCCGTGCTGGGGTGGGTACGGTACAAGTAAATGACCCACGGGTCGGCTCATCCTTTTCCCGCCACCGCCCTCTACGCGCAGTTGGCTACCCGCCACCGCAGCTTGCTCATTAGCGGCGTGCACTTGCGGTCCCTCGCCTCTGCGGTACTAACGGCACCGGGCGCACCGGGACCGACTGCCGCCAAAACCGGCGCCGCCGGCCCCACCGCCGCCAGGCGGCGGCGGCCTTCTGCCCCCGGATGCCGTACGAAGCCCTTCCCACAGCAAGTCGTCGCCTTGCGCGGGCCATCGTACACCTCGGTCGGATTCAGCCACACGCCTGGCGGCACCGGCAGCGGCAGCGGCGGCGACGACGGCGGCGGCGGTGGCAGCGGCAACGGTGGCGGCAGCCTTGAGGTTGATGCAGCAGCCGCCTCCACTTGCGGCGGTGATGACGTCAGCGGTAGCGGCAATGGCGGCGGTGGCGGTGGGGACGCTTGGCCCATCGCGACGGAGCTTCGCGGCGAGGAGCCGTACCTCCACGTGACGGCAGCAACGGCGGCGGCGGCGACGGAGGTGCCCCGCATGCCGGACGCTGGTGTCCTGACGGCGGCTATTGAAGCGGCAAGAACCGCGTCAGGATGCAGATCCAGGCCGCCGTCGCAATGCCGGGGATCTGCCGTACCGCGGAGCCCGGCGGCGTCGCAGCCGATATCCCAAGCCGGTTCACCCAGGTGTTCCCACTCCAGGGGCGGCGGCGGCACTGGCGGCAGTCCGACGCCGCAGCAACACCCGACGGCGCCGCCGCCTCCGCCGTTGCAGCTGCAACTATCCGTGACGGGAGCGCCATTTGCCGGAGACATGCCGTACGCGCCCGGCATCTGCGTCAGCAGCGGCGGCTCTGCCGCCGCCGTAACGACCCGCGGGCCGCATCGTCCTGGGCGCATTAGCCCGGTGGCTTCCGTGGCGCCGATGCCGTCGACGCAGCTCCCGGAGTCATGGGACGCCCACGTCGCCGCTATGCTGCAGCGCCGTACGGAAACTGAGTTGGCTGCCGTACAGCGCGCCCACAGGAGCGTTCACACGCCGCGCGACGGCGCTGCATCGCCCACCGGACGGGAAAGGTCCCCCGACGTCGGCAACCACAGGCGTACTGGCGGCGGCGGCGGCGGTGGCGGAGACGCTGTCAGCGGCTCCAGCACTGGGATTGGCGACACCGATGTTCCGTACACTAGCGTACTGATGGGCCCTTCCGGTACGGCACTCCCAGATTTTGTACCAGTGCCTGGCGTGCGGCCCCCGCTGCAGAGCCGTTACGTCCCGAAGCGTCTGCCCGAGGAAGCGGGAGAGCAGGGGACGATGGCGGCGGCAGCGGCGGCGGCGGAGTTGCCGCAACCGTCAGGTGCTTTGGGTGGCGGCGACGGCGGCGCGGGCGGCGGTGGCGGCGGCACCGCCGCAGGCACGTCCCATCCGAATATTAATAGGAGTAGTGCTGTCGATAAGGAGGTGGGCGGAAATGTGGCGGCAGCGGCCGTGGCAGATCGTACGGAGGCTGTAGTAGTCCCGCTGCCGTTGGCGAGCGCTGTGCAAGATGCTACTGCTGTTGCTGCCGCGGCTGACGCAGCTGTAGCGGCAGCAGCGGACTGCCGTGGCGGCGCTGAAGAGCGCTCCTTTTCGGCTTCCGTTGGAACTGCCACCGCTTCATCCCTTCCGTCGGATGCCGGGTACGACATTGTACGGAGCTGCAACAGCTCTCCGCCATCGTCAGCCTTGCCACTACCGCCGCTGCCGCCTTTGTCTTCTCGGTCAGGTGGCGAAGCTGCGGAGATGCCGGCATGTTCTGAGCTGCGGTACGTCGACGGCGTTTCCGTACCGCCTGTACGATATCATATGTTCTGTTAATTAGCTAACCAAGGGCCCCAATTAGCCGCACCATTAGCCATGACCGTTCTGGATTATCACTTACAATGGTTGATGACATATGCCTTTCTGTAAGTACCCTCTTTACCCCACCAGTAATAAAACGAAATCCTCTCTCCGAGCGCCATTATCACCATCATCACCATCTTCGCCAAAGCTCTCCTCCCACGCGTCCTGTATGCATGTTTGTATGTCCCGCGTCCCCACGCTTCCGCGCCTGAAGGCTTGACAGATCCGGCGGTGCGGAGGCCGAGAGCTGCCCGCCGCGGCAGGGCTCCCCGGACCCCACCGCCGACGGAGTCGCAGAGGCCGCCGATGCTATGCCCGCGCTGCCGCCGCCGCCGCCGCCGCCACCGGCGGCGGCGGAGGAGCAACCATCGCAGGACGACACATCAGCATCCCCGGCGGCGGCGAGTACGACGGCGGCGCTGGAAGGGCCTGCGTCTCGACCCTTCCGGGGCAACATGCGCCGCTTCACTGTTTCCTCTGACGGCTCCGAAACCCCGTCTCGCTCCGCCACAACATGCGACGGCGTGGAAGCAGCGGCAGCGGTGGCGGCGGCGGCGGCGGCGGTGGTGGTGGCGGCGGCGGCGGCCGATCCACAGAGGTGCAATGACGTCGACGGTGGCGTCGGCGTCGTATTCGGCGATGGCAATAACACCGCTGCGTCAGAGGAAATAACGGTGGCGACGGCGGCGACGGCGACAGAAAGGAGTCCCGTCGTTCATGGTCGGCAGTTGCCATCACCGGCGCTACAGCTGCCGCTGCTAAGTGTGGACGAGGCGCTTATGATGTCCGGCTTTGGCAAGCCTCAGACGCCGGCACTGGCCAGAATCGAGCGAGCAGCGGGTCGTGTTCCGCTTAGCAACGGTACGGCAACAACTCGTCGTAATATTGAGCACGGCGCACTGGCCGTCGACCCGGCGGCGGGTCCGGCCAGTCCGCGCGGCGGCGGCGGCGGTGGCGGCGGCAGCGGCAGCAGCTTCACGTTGCCGGCGCCGTCGCGTCTGAAGCTCAACGGGCCGCATCTGCAACTTCAGATCCACCAGCACCAGAACGTTCCGCCGCCGCCGCCGCCGCCGCCGCCAGCCCCGGGGTCGCCGAGGAGTTTGGCGCCGGTGACGACCCGGGGCAGCGCCAGCGGAGGCGCCTCACAGGCCGCTGAAGCGACGGGGACCCTTGCCCGCGGCAGCGGCAGCGGCGGCGCCGCCGCAGCGGCGACGTCAGCGCCGGCGGGGCACACGGTCCGTTCCAGAACCTCGCCGCACACCCAGGCGCGGCCGGCGGCGGCAGCGGCCGGAGGTGACCTGTCAGACGGCGGTGCAATCACAGCGGTTTCGGCGCCACCACTGCCGCCGCTCCAGGGAACGCGGTCGTACAGCTACCTGCCGGCCACGCATCTGGTCCATCATGCCATTGTAACGCAGCAGCAGCAGCTGCAAGGCAGTAGCAGTGGTGGTGGTGACGGCAGCGGCGGCGGCGCCTCCAGCGGAAGTGGCTCGTCTGCCGGCGGTGACAGCACGACGGCTCAGCCGCCGGGGGCCGCCGCGGTGGCGGCAGTACAGCAGCTACAGCTTCCGCCCTTGCGCGACCCCGGATCGCCTCGCCGCAGCGGCTCGCCGCGGCTCTCGGCGATGCCGCCGCCGCCGCCGCCAGGGGGACACATCAGGTACGGCGAGCACGTTGGCGACGGCGGCGGCGGCGGCGGCACTGCTGCAGGTGCAAAATTTACTGCCTCGAAGTCCGCTCGTGTACGACAAGCAATGACGGAGTCTCTACCGGCATTGCCGATGCGAATGCACTCGCAAGGGAACTTGGCGTTGCAGCATCACAACGCCAAGGGAGGCGCCGGCGGCGGCGGCGGCGGCGGCACCGCCGCCACCGCTACCGGTGACGGCGGCAGCCCCAGGCCGCCGCCCCATGGCACGTCCTCCCGAGCCCTCAGCAACGGCTCTGGTATTGCCGTACAAGGTGGCGGCAGTGGCGGAGATCGGGACCGAATCATGTTGCCTCATCCGCCGCTGCCCAGGGAGCACTCGTCGTCGCAAACGGCGGCGGCGGCAGCACAGCGGCGGGCGGCCTTGGTGGCGGAGCCGTTGGCGGCGCCATCTTTATCGTCAAGGTTGTTGGCGCCGTCCTTATCAGCGCCGCTGTCGTCGCCGCCGCCGCCGCCGGCACTGCCTCCAGCAGCGACGTTGTTCGCGCCGGCGCCGCCAGCAGCCCCACTCGTCGCGCCAGTCACGTGTTTAACCGACTTACCTGACATAGTGACCTTGTTGTCGAGTGAGCCGCGGGTTCCCGCCAGGTCAGGTCCTACACGCATCCGCAGGATGGACTACTGACGGGCTCCCTGTCGATGCGCCACAAAATGCCTGTCTGTCTGTCTGTCTGTCTGTCTGTCTGTTTGGCAACATCTTGCCGTTCCTAATACTCCTGGTATACCCCCCTCTTCGACCTTACAAAGTCCCCAGTCCTCAGTACCCCCGGGGGGAAGACGGGGCCGACAAAACCCAACTCCCCTCCTCCTCTCGACCATTCAGCCCTTTTCCCTTTTTCCCCCCGCCTTAACCGGTGTCAACTATCGCAAATTGAGATGATCGGATTCGTTTGTCGTCGCCGCGGCAGCAAATGACCGGAACCACCGCTACCACCACCACCACCACCCACCACGGAATCTCAATCCATGCCGGCTTCTTTCGGCTTGTTTCCCCACGTCACTTCATTTTGAAGCCGCTCTCGGAGACGCTTTCGTTCCACCGACTTCCTCTCATAATTAGAGTGTGTTTTATATTATGTGGCGGTTGTGCGGAAGTCTTTTCCCATTTGCCATTGCTGACGGCGAACAACAAGAAGCGACGGATGTCTCAAGTTCACTTTTCTGCGCACACGCAAGTTTGTGCGCATGTGCGTGAGCGCGCGAGAGCGAGCGCGCGCGGCCATTTGTCGCCTGCACTCTACGTCTCGAAAAGGTTATATATACATATTTGCAAGCCCTAAGGGAGTTGATGGCCAAATGTGCGAGCCAAACGCTTTGCAGGCCGTTCAAATGTCCCTCAATTTGTCGCATGATTGTCAATCGGTATTTGACTTATTGCAAAACTATAAAATATCACTTCTGATGTGTTGTATTCGACAGTTTAGGCTGCGTGCGCGTCTCTTTTGCTTTCTGTTCTCTATTATGAAGTAGTGGATCGAAAACCTTCTTATATTGGAAAAGCTTTATAACACGAGCTATTGATTCATGCATCCCAGCTGAGTCACGAGACAGTTGCTCCGGGCTTTGCAGCAATCATATCTTATTTTCTTTGTCGCCCGTGGGGCCATCCGGATTGATGCTTGTGTCGTGCGTGAGAGAACGACGTAGGTGGCGGTGGCGGCAGTAGTAGCGGCGCGGTAACCCTTAGAGCTTGTAGGCGTCGTAGACGAGCGATGCAGCCGCCAAACAATGCGTTGCGTGTTGCGTTACGACATGTACGGCATCTGCGGCCCACCATGCGCATTCACAGTGGTGATGGCAAGCTAGCAACCTTGCTTTCCTTGGCCGATTCGTTCCGGTGTTCTATATGTATTTATGGTTGTATGAAGCCGGGGTGGTGGTGGAAAGTGGTGAAACACAGCTTGACACACCCCTTTGTGTGTGTATCTGTGTGTGTATGTGTGTGTATGTATGTCCCCTCCCACCAGCCCTCTGCTGGCGGAGCCCCTGAACTTCCCCTTCCCCGATGTTTACCTCCACCCCCCCGGGGGGACACCCTCATCCTCATCATCCTCATCGCACACATAAATGTGCGTTGTAGTGACTTTTTCGGGTGTGTGTTCAGAACCCACAACCACCAGCGCCTAAGCGTATTTGCTATATGTCTGGGGCCATGTTTATGTATGTATGTATGTATGTATGTACGTGTGTGTATGATAATGTGCATCTGTAAGTATCAGACAGAAAGACGTGTGCTTATCACGACTACGCCCAGACAGACAGCGGGCCGAGACAGACGTGGTCGAGACGCACTGCGAGTTTGAGACCAGAGAGATGTAAGGGTGCCGCAATTACCTATATGCAGAAGTGGGGGGAGGTTGAGGGAGAGGACGAGAGAGGAAGGGGAGGCTGAAAGGCTGTCCGATGTCGAGCGTAGCGAAATAGCGACCTCCGATGTCCACAGCGATCAGTCCCCCTAAATGCTAGGTTTACGAGCTTTCAAATTGATGAAAGAGCAGTTGGTTTATATTTATTAGTGTTACGTTCTACCCTTTGTTCCCAACCGCTCCAATTGTATTAAAAATGAGTTCCGCCTGCTGTCGCTGTCTCTATTTTGATGCTTGACGATAATTTAAAATGTACGACATGTACGAGCGAGGTATGATGTGCGAACATCGTTCCCCAAAGATGCAGTAAGGACCAGTGTGGGCCAGTCTGGTGATAAGTCGTAGGAATGACAATGTGTTCAGGTGGCCTAGAAGGCCCCCGCTCTGAAAAATAAACAAAAATAGTAACGAGATCTCCTGATCCCAATCGATGGTGGTTTGACTGATATGTTGCCGCACACTTGTAACTGACAAATGCGTTCGTTCTGGTGGCTTTAGGGCTTATGAATAAGGTGCTGATGTAAGCAACGGTCTCAACGGGGCCTGTGCCTGCCGTACGGCACATATGGCCGCACAACGACACACGGTTGCACGGCCTGGGGACGATGGCTGCGTATATCCTGACGCCGCCGCCCTCAAGCAGTCTGCACGATTTCCTCCTCATCGGCGCCCTTGGCTGCGGTCGAGCAATTTAGGCCTTGATGAAGATCAGCGTTCCCCGGGTTTCAGGTGCTCACACCGCAGCCCTTTGTGCATGTGAGACCAGGGCAAGCTCCGATCCACCCACCTTGGCCTCCTTGGCAGAGGAGCGAAGACGGGGACGACTTGGGATGCCAGTTGGGTTTCTTGGCTGAGTTAACGCACTAAGCACTGCAGCTCGTTGAAGATATCCTTCGAGATCTCCGCTGCTTGCCGCGCCATGGTTGCGTACTGCGACAGGTACTGACAACCGGCACCTCGATAATGGTGGCATCGAGCCCAATTGAGACATATCTAGTCAAGTTAAGCTGTAAGTATGTCAACTGTCAAGTAATAATAGCTTTAATCTACGCGCCGGAAGCCCGTTTGGGCCCATGGTTTTGATGCTAGCCTCAATCCGAAGTGTATGTGTTTTGCATGCAACTTGTACGTTTTAGACTGCATAAACAAAGTTTTTTTATAGGCGTGCACGGGTTGGGACGTGTCTTTGGTTGATGAACTAGGCAAGTAGTAGGTAGGTAGGTGGGTACGTGGGTAGGTAGGTAGGTAGGTAGGTAGGCAGGTAGGTGGGTAGCAGAGGTCGGCAAATCCTGCGGGTACTGCGGGTCCGCAGTACCACAGTACCCGCAGCCGAAATTCAGCTTAAGGCCCCGGAAGGCTGCGGGTCCCTAACGACCAAAATTTGACCAAAAACGTGACTTGCAGCCTCTATTGCGGCCCGTAGGGCCACGCGCTGGACTTGGAAAGTCTGTGTGGACTGTTAGGTTTACTGACCGAATATATGCCCTCCCGCAGCCGCTGAAACTGATTTGCCGACCTCTGTTAAGCAGGTAATAGGTAGGTTGGTAGGTAGGGTGCAAAGGTGGTGTAGGAAAGAATCAGTGCACGGGGTAGCGACGGTACGAGGAGGACTGGAGCCTGCAAGTCACGTTGACACATCCATACATCACAATCGAAGAAGGAGAGACCTGCAGATCATAACCATGACAACATTATTAACAATGGGTAACAAAAAGTTTTATTTTGTCTGATGGGTGGGTCCGAAGACCGCCAAATATTGCGGAAGGTCCCGAAAGACACGACCGACGGGGAAGGAATAAGTTTTCAACCAGCAATAGTCGCGCCTCGATTAGATCTCATAGGCTGCGACATTGCCCCAAGCGCAAAGATAACAAGAACTGGAATTCTCGACGCACCAGACCAACGCCTTGACGCTCTCTCAGTTCTACAGAACGATGGTGGGTCTGCATGATGTGTTACTCGAAGCATTTATCCTGAAGCACTACTTGAAGCCAGGAAGGAAGTCATGACTTCCATTGCGGTAGCGTTCTAAGAAAAATCGGAAGACAGGGTTAGGCCTCCGTACGATGGCCGCCTGCTGCACGACAGCTGATCATCTCCTGTCCCCTCTGCCCCTCCCAGCATTTCCGTACTGGCAGATACACACACATCACATATGTGTGCCATATGTACACTTTACACACATGTTCGAGCTGCTTGCTTGTGCACCGTTGTGTGCGTTATTGTAACAAGTGGTCACGAGCCTAGGTCGTACACCTCTGTATTGATATTATACCGTTGTGCCTAATAGTGTTTAGGTACGACGGCAACAGAGTACTCAATCCTCTCTTAGAGTTACGTCACGATGGTGAGCTAAACTCGGCAGCTGACTAGGTACCCACATGCCCAGTAGCACGGCAACCAACCCGCCGTTCGTTCGCTCTTAATTATCTTATCTGCTGACCTGTGTTTGTGTGTGTGTGTGTACCTCACAGCTATTAACATTGCTACCACGTTCCCCCACATACACCCGCACATATACACAACAACAGGACAGCACACATTCACAACAAGAGCAAGCCGCGCCTCACCACCCGATGTCTCTAGATTACTCCTCCTGCTTCCCCCCCCCACACGCCGCTGTGTGTGTATGCTTCTACTTCTACTTCTCACGGCTCTACCTCTCTCTCTACCTCTCTCTCCACCGCCGCCAGATACACACGCGCACGCACTCACACACACATACTCCTCCAGTTATGAGGTTGCCCTCATGTGTACATGTGTATGTGTGAGTGTTGAGAATGAGAGTGTGTGTGAGTGAGAGTGTGAGGTAAAGTGTGTGTTAGAGAGTGTGAGGTAAAGTGTGTGTCTAAGTGTAATCATCGCCATTACTTTCTTCTCATGGTTTCGTTCATCAATGACACAAACACGTCAACGGCTCAAAAGGAAAAGATTACAATACGTGTTGGTTGGTGCCAGCAGCCGCAGTACCAGCAGCAGCAGCAGCACCAGCAGGAGGGGGAGGAAGCGAGGGAAAGACGGCGGGTAAGGTGCCGCCTGCTGGGTAGTTGGGTACAACTAACTAGGGCGGCTCCAACACTGAAAGGTGGAAAGCCTGTTTGCTGTTGGGGGGGGGGGGGAAATATACTCTTATATACTATTACCAGCTCCTACTGCTGCTACTGATGCCGCTATTGATGGCGGCCCAGACATGTCCCTACCGATATCGCACAATCCACCACCACAATCCACCATCAATCATCAAAATCCAATGGATACATCTGGCCTCCTTGCACTTGGGTCACTCCAAGCCATGAGCAGGACTCGGGCGAGGTGGAGTGGCTGGCGCACGCTTGAGAATGTGTGTGTGTGTGTGTGTGTGTGTTTGTGGATGCATGTCTGTGTACGTACGTCAGCATAAAGAGTTAGGTCAAACACGCCGTCCATCCACTTGGCGGTTTTGACGGTTATGGTAGTTCAGTGGTTGGGAGTCAACGGTATTTTATCATGTGCCCAGAAGGCCCGGAGTGGTAAGTCGGTGGGTTATTGCGTCGGTGGGCCTGTCGTACATCACAGCGGCTCTCCTGCTAGGAAAGCCCGAACCATGTGGGCCGCTCGTACAGGCTGTACGTACGGCACCATGTGGCCGGCACCACGTACTGTGGCAAACGTAAGGCCCGCATACTGTACGACATAGCCGCCCACTTGGCTGCCGCTGAACCAGGGCCGCCACGCCTCCTTTTCCTGTCGTACGGCACACAACATGTCGTATCCGGGTGGGGCGGGGGGAAAACACCGACACAGTGGGTGTTGGGGGAAGTGGCCAAGAGTAAAATACCATTTCCGTGGGTTCACTGATCCCAGCTATTCATCCACTGGTTTATTCATTCACTAATCGTTCATTTGGTCGCTCTCTAAGACATGACCAAACCTACGGCATGTCATCATCCGGCTCTCCTGTTGCCGTTAAAGGTCGTTTCTCTTCGGTGGTAGTTAATCCAAACTGCTAATAAATTAAGCTCCGGCAGTTTTTCATTAAATACTATTGGATACGGGGGATGCGGGGGGACAAAACCATCTCGTCCTGAACCCCGCACGCACCTTCCCCAGCCCCCTCCACCCCACTCCCCTTCACCCCGGAGAAAGTGGATCAACCCCCCTGCCCCAAACATACGCATACATACATACATACATACATACATACATACATACATACATACATACATACATACATACATACATACATACATACATACATACATACATACATACATACATACATACATACGCGCACATACAACGCAAACATACAGACGAACGCACGGCCCCCTCCTGCCAGGTTGTCGCACCTGGAGTCGTAGTGTCGTCACCCAGCGGCGAGTGCCCACCACCGGCACGATACCGTCCACGTCACCGCTGTACACCAGAATACGGAGATTGGCCTGGGGGGGAGGGGAAAGGGGCCCGGAGGGTAGGAACGCGGGGAAGGAGGGCTGCTGGGACAAGCACGTGTGAAAGGCAGGTGTGTTCGTTGGGTTAGTTGGTTGGGTTCGGAAGGTGGGTAGTTGGGTTAGTTGGTTGGGTTCGGAAGGTGGGTAGTTGGGCGGGCTGGGTGTTACCCCTGTATACCCCCATGTCAAGTGTTAATGAAAAGCGCATGTCATGACTTTTCATTGTACGAGCACCGAATTCCGTACCTGCAGCAGACGTTCGTACACGGGCAGCATCGACGAAAGCAGGTCCTCCCTGGAGTACGTGATGGACCGCGTGCAGTCAGTCCATCGCCAAGGAAGTTTGACCGTCTGATTGGCGTGGAGAGCGCGCTGAACCTGTACGGCACGAGTTAGTTTTTTCATCGGTGATTAACACAATACGGGTACAATCACAGGGGAAAAGCCGGGGGAAAACAGAGCAGAGCTACACACAAAAAGGATGTACATATATTGGTTATGTAAAGTGGCAATATATATAATAATAATATACATAGGCAATATATGGGCAAAATATATATTGACAAAATTTGATTGCCAAATGCACATTTGCGCATAAGACCCCGGTGGTGAACTAACAATGAACGTTTGTACAAACTCAAAAAAAATATCAACTTTTAAGCACCCAGAGCGTGATTAACCAAATTGGTTGATTTCAGGTGTCCCGTACACCCGTTGCCAGCAGTTCACAATAATGTGCGATAAACACCTGAACATAAGCAGTAGCAGCAGTAGCAGTAGTAGTAGTAGTAGAAGTAGCAGTAGTAGTAGTAGTAGAAGTAGCAGTAGTAGCAGCAGCAACCAAACGTGCTTCTCTCATCTACCCCCCCCCCTCGTTTTTGTCATGCTTTCTTCACATCTGCAGCAGCACTCTTTCCTTGGCATCAGCTTCAATCGTTCGTGGGGTTCGTCTTTCCCCCCCCCCCCGCCGCCCCTGCGGCCCCCTGCGTGGCCCATACCCACCTCTGGCAGGTTCAGATAGTCCTCTGTCTCATCATCAATACACGGGTCGTACTCGGAATTCGAGCCGTCGCCAGGGTAGTACGACATCCGAATCATTTTGTACGATGCTGACGCAGGGCCATGCCACCGATGCTCCTGCTCTGGATGCTGCTGTCGCTGTTTTGCACGCGGAGACGCCGCTGCCACCGCCGCTGCAGCCGCCAATCCCATTGGCCCGGACGTCCTCTTTGTGCTACTGGTAGTGGTAGTGGTGGTGGTGGTGCTGCTGCTGCTCGAGTTGTTGGATGTGGTTTCGGAGCCACTGGCTGCAAGAGCCCAATGCAGCGCCTCGACCTGCGCACGGGACGAAAACTATCATCACCACCACCAGCATCACCATATGGCGGTGATGTGATGTATCACCAGCACCAGCATCATCGCGGGGTCCCTGCTCACCCCCGAGTGAAATTTCCCAACAGTTAGTGGGAGCAACACCCCAGAAAACAACGATCCTCTGCTCCCACCATCATTCATACCAGTACCCACCCACCACCCGCCAGTACGCCACCGCCACCACCAAGGGGGGGAGAGGGGGGGAGACGCCTGTACCTCAGCCCTCCCCCAACCGCCACCCCAAAAACACACATACGCACACAAAAAACATACATGCATACAAACACACACCTGGCGCCTAAGACTGGGTGGCTCATCGCACAGGTCCGCATAGATTTCGTAAATATTTATGGAACCCAGCTCGTCAAAGGCCCTGCGGGTACATACATACATACATACGTACAGCTGTTGCTTGGTGGCCGGGTGTGGGTACATACGTACAAACGTACACACGCGGCGGATACACTGAGATGCCCACTCTGACGTCGAGCCGCCGGGCTGCATATGTGGCTGTGGCTGTAGTAGGCGTAGGGCCGGTATCACCACCACTTCGCTTCCGAAACGATGGTCCTTCCCCCCAACCCCCAACCCCCCACGAAATTCCGTCGCCATTTCCCTCATCGCTGCTCAGATTACCGATTACCACACGTAAAGACACACAACAAGTTATTCATGCGCCATCTTTGCCAATCCCAGCTGCGCGCGGCTCAGAGCATTTACATAGCACAATTAGAGTTGGAGCATTTACAGAACAACAAACACGCACAGACACGCACCAAGACCTCCCGGCGCACCTGTTGCAAAAGTCATCGCACAGCTCGTCGCGCGTCTGCGCCTCCCGATGAGCGGGGTGATGATCCAGAGGCCCTATGATAGCGTAGCAGTGCAGTACAGTGTACGTTGTAGTCCGTTATGGGCCCCCATGGCCCTCTACCACCCTACTGCTGCTGGGGGGTATTAATTCCCTTGGAGTTTATATCCAGGGGGGGCTCTTCTTGCCGTAATACCTAGTAATACTACTACTATTTACGTAGCAGGTGAGGTTGGGTGTGGTGGCGCGGGGTGGGGTTTGTCGTTCATGACCCGCCCTGCCTCGTGATACCCACCACCACCCCTAGTGATTCCCCCCAAGGAACTGCGGAATGCACGCGGCCATCTTCGAACTGTGTGGGGTTGGGGGTTTCAGGGTTTTATGTGTTCATGTTTCCCCCGGGGGGGAGACCGTGCCACCGGTGGGTGCTGAAGCAGGGCGTTTATGTTTATGCGGGTGAGGCCATATGCCGACTTGGGGATGCTGGCAGGTCAGGTGCTTCCAGGAATTGAGCGGTTGATTGTTGAGGTAATGGCGAAAGCGAACGTCAGCCCTTGATACCCTTAGCCATCAGCCGATAACGTACCAATGCGGGAGAAGTTGCAGTTGGCTCGGACGCCTTGAGCAGTTTGATCGCTGATCAATGCATGAGTCCACCAGTAATCAACAGCGCCTTAGAATGGAACAAAGGAAAAGAATGGATAATTTCACTGCATCAAGAATTTAATACGATGCGAAAATATTTTAGAATAAATGGGTGGGTCCGAAGACCGCCAAATATTGCGGAAGGTCCCGAAAGACACAACCGACGGGGAAGGAATAAGTTTTCAACCAGCAATAGTCGCGCCTCGATTAGATCTCATAGGCTGCGACATTGCCCCAAGCGCAAAGATAATGATACAGTCGCAAACACGATTCAGGCCACTCCTCCTTGGTCTGATGGACAAACAGAACACCGATGGTGGGTCGTTCCGTCATTGAATAATATACCACTGGCTAGCATAGTATTTAATATCTCTGACAGTGTGTTTGATAGAAATGGAGCGATTAGTTTATAATGTTTCTAACATGGGCATTGTCATAGTGCACTTGAAGCTTTCATCCCAATTGACATTTGAAGCAAGACACTCCTTCGCATGTACATCTAAGCTTCTACAACTACAATTGGCGAATAGATACTGGATCTTGAGCATAAAACAAAAGCAAATGCAGGTCAGTGTGTTAACTGACAGCAACGAAGTTCACAGTTGGGAGTTAAGCGTCTATTCGTCGTCTTAAGTCTAAACCATCAGCGCAAAGCTCGCAAATATTCACGTGTGCATCTTGTGATCTGCGTACATTTATGCGAGGTGAGCACCCAAAAGCCAGTCGACCTACCCATGTTATCAATAGCCGCATCTGTCCATGGGTTGCCAACCAGGAATCCCTACAAAAGCGCAACCACAACGTGAAGGAAAAAAAGCATCATATTGCGTCGCGCATAGCTTTGCGCCAAGGTCCGAACACAGGATGCCCAACGTGGTCAACGTCAACTTCCGCGCAACCCGCCCTTCCCCACCACAGCTACCATTATTAAGTTTCTCAGACAAATCCAGCAACCAGCCCGTACCCGTCTTTTTGACAGTCCTAACCAGCCCAGCAGCCCAGATGTCATGCCGCTACACCATCACCTACCTGCAAATTAATCTTGGGCTCTCCCGAAGCCGCGGCCACCTTGTTTCCCTCCACAATAGCTAGAGCCAGGTTAGGCACATAGTGGCCTGCGTAGCTCTCACCTGCGGGAGTGCGAGAAGGCGCGTATGTTTTTCTACTCCGGCACACACCCGATTGCAACATTCCTCCCCCTTTTCCCGCTTCATTTTATTACTCCATCTGGGTCAAATGCCGAAAGGGCATCCACGGTTCGTGTTTGCATTCTTTAGCCTCTCCCTCATTAACGCCCTGATAAAGCACCCATTTCTCCCGAAACGTGAGCCGCCCCCTTCCCCCAACCTGGCCCCTCCGATTGCCTCCCTCCAGTTTTCATTCTACATGCTGTATTCCTATCCTGTGTTCCCTTTCCGACGAAGAGGCGAAATGATGATATTCTATTCAAATCAATCACCCGGGCACCCAAGGGCTCCCTCACCGGACACGTAAAAGGGGGTGTTGCTAAACCGCGGAAACCGCTCCAGAAAGCGCAGCATGAAGATGCGGCTGTCAGCGGCTGTGCGGGCGTCACCTGTGATGGGGAGATCGAGGGGTAGGTGCACATCAAGAAGGCGAGGGGGGCTTGAGCGCGCGCGTGTGCACGTGAGGGTGTTATCAAGGCAGGCGAGTGCCTACTGCGCTGCCCAGGAGGTGATGAAGAACCTGCTCACCCCCTGTGTGTGGATGTGCGTGTGTGTGTCTATGTGTGTGGATGTGTGCGTGTGCGTGTCTGTATGTGTGTGTCTGTGTGTGTGTGTGTGTGTGTGTGTGTGCATGTGCCAAACCCATCCACATGTACGCGCGCGCGTGTGTGTGTATATATGTCGCAACGACAGCGCACTATCACAAAATCAACCTCAAACCCAAACAACACGCACGAGGTTCATTGTGTTCTCATCACCACGTACATTTCTCCCCTTCCCCCCGAGAAACACACACACACACAGAGAGAGCCAGCCAGTTAACGCACAACACGCACTCACGCACCCACGACGGCATCTTCCGTGGAGTTGGAGTAGCTGAATCCCACGAACGCGGGGCTCTCCACAAACAGCATGTGGGCGAACTGGTTCCAGGAGTGCGGGTTGCGCTGTGTTGGGGAGGGGGGAGGGGGGAGGAGGGGGGTACAGCCGGGCGGGTGAGGCGGGGGGAAATGGAGGGGGAAATGGGATTGGAGCGGGGTGGCCATGCGGCGATATGAATGGATGAATCAATGGATTTATATGTGAATGGATGGGTAGATGAATGGACATGTGTAAAACGGATATGGGTATGGGGTATTGGGCTGGCCGTCGGGTGATATGGGGTTGTATATTATGGGTTTAGGGTTTTACGTAAACGGCGGTGAAGGTAGGGCTTAACGTGAGGGGAGGCGAGGGGAGGTGGGGTGAGGTAGGGACGAAGGCGTTCGGCAAAACGAGCGACATCAAAGACGGTGTGATGTGATTTGATGTGATGCGCCGGAGGACGAGAGGAGGACAAGAGCAGGCTTAGGAGGGGGCGCGGCACCGGACGACCCGAATTTTGCGCCATGTGGAGGGGGAAGGCGACTGGGGGGTAAGACGAATCACTGGCGAATGGAGGGAAGAGGGGGATGGAGCGGAATTACCCAAATAGCTTCCCGCCGTCCGTACATCCGTACATCCGTACCTGCAGCTCCCTGCCCCCGGGCAGTGGGAAGAAGGGCCCCAGCTCAGTCATGAAGCCGCCACCAATGGACGAGCAGCCAGGCCCTCTGAGAGTGGGGAGGGTGGAGAGAACATACATACATACGTACATACACACATACATACATGCAATCACGTGCAAGCCCTACATGACATAATGATCGGTTTTGCTCCTCGCAATCCCAGCGATAGCCGTACACCAAATACAGGGACCCGCAAACACGCCAATTAACGCTTTCTCTGTCGCGTTGGCGGCGCCACCGCGACAGAGAAAGCGTTACCAACTTGGCGGTTCTTTTGCTATATGTGGTGTGTAGAGCTGCTGCCACTTGGCCACTAGGCGCCCTCAGACTCGTGTTCATGTCATATCTCGACATGGAGCAATCATACATGCAGGGACATACATGCACGCACACACATATTTCCCCTCACCCGTTCAGCCACAGTACCAAGGGCTTGCTGGTTCCGGAGCTAGCGTCCGAGGTAGCGTCTAAGGTAGCAGAGGAGGAAGAGGAGGAGGAGGGTGCGGATCCGGGGGCCTCAGCCAGAATGTAAAACAGAGCTCGGCCCTTCTCCTCATCCACCGTGATGTAGCTGCGCAGGGCAAACATTGAAAAGCAGGGATTCAACGAAGGTAATCAAGGTAGTGAAGGGGGGGATAAGGGCGCGATGAGTGGTGGGTGGGATGGGGGAGCGGACCAATGAGCCCGATATCCCCATAATGCCAGGGCACTGGGTCGAGCAGCATGTGTTTACATCGCTAACCGCTAACTAACCGCTAACCAACCGCTAACCATTAGCCCCGCCCACTCCTACCCTGCGAACATGTTGAAGTCGTCAATGTCTCCCCAGCCCGGCAGGTGCGGGACCAGGTCGGCAATCGCCTCGGAGCTGTACTCAGATGCCCTGTAGGAGGAGAGGGGCCCCGGGGGATGGATTGGGAAAATGAATTGGGAAAAGTACATAGAAAGTAGAAAATGGATGCCAAGAGTAGTACGGGCCCGAGCGGGCGATGAGGAGCAATTAGATGGACACGTGATGGCTGGGTGCACGGCGTACCTGGAGCGCAGGTTTGCAAACGAGCAGCTAGTCGGTCATCCTCGATGTCCTTGTCACCGGCACTAACGAAGCGTTGCGCATCGATTGCGGCACGGATGCCACCGATGCTAGATGACGCAGAGCGCGCAGCGTCGGCCCGGGGAAAAGCAATTGCAGCTATGATCACTGAAGCAAGGAATGCGCCACTGAGCGCCGGCCCTAGTCGACGCGAAGCCAAAGCAGCCCGCATGGCGGATTCGGTTCCTTTCAATGTGCCAAGCTTTTTCATCAACCAGGATTTTTATGTTAAAAATACCTAAAAGTTGTTTAACGTATCGCAATCTTGTAACGGTCTTTGTCCGATTGCTTAAATGTGTTTGCCTGAGCAATTGCGTTCTTGAGCGCCCCCCCTCTGCACTTTGTGTACTAAGGGTGACGCATCAAGCACACTTGGACAATGAAGTTTCAAGGCACAAGTTTCATATCTAAAACCTCCACGACAAATCAGCAATCACCGTACAACCTCTTCCTTTTGTGCGCCATCAAGGATATCCTTCCTTTCAATTCATGTGATTACACGCACAAGGTATACATGCGAAATCCAGTGCGAGGCCACATGACGCACAGCACACAACGCAGGAGCTCACGTGGCTTCGCCGCGCTGCAGTTGAAACGCTATACAAGAATACTCAACGTTACGCGCGGTAAAGTCTTGGAGAAGTTAGACTTCAGATTATGCTTTTCCAGAAGGTCAACTGAAAATTAACTACCTGCCTACCCACGAATGTACGTCCACTCCCGGAGTGGATACCGGGTCCCACTCATTGAGAAGAAAGCTTGCCTAGCACCATACACGCCATTGCAGCACAAGAATAAGCTGGAGTACAAATAGGTTGTTCTCAAGAAGTTTTCCTGTGCACGCGCTTTTTGTGTCTTCAGGCTTGTCGCACGGCAAAATCATGATACCTCAGCAACCCTAACCTACAATGGGTTACAAATGTACATATTTGCTATGTAAGCGGTCGTGAGCGGTCGAGCAACACGAGCGGCGTTGTCCTTGTGGAGTGCAAAGCGCGCGCAATTTGTCAAATATGTGGTCTTTATAAGCGACTGGGCTTGGCCGTTTGTTATAACTCGCGAAATTGGCGACGCAATTCAGGTAACGGTACGAGGGGTCAACGTTTGACGAAATTCATCCCCCCCCCGGTCACTTTCGTCCACTTTACCGGTAACGTACCGTTACCATGTCCGAACCGACCACTTTTCCCAAAAAGTCTTAACGTAACGTAGCATGTAAACTGGCTATGTACTACTAAGTTCAAAATCATAATACCTCAGCAACCCTAACCTGAAATGTACTCTTAAATTACAATCACGGTGCTCGCGTACAGTTACATACAGTTTGCGCTTATGGACACAGATTCAAGGGGGATGTCCAGACGTTATCGTTCTATCGCGGAGCAACTACTCGGCCTTCCAAGGACCTCCCGCTCTCATAGCACCTGTGCTGACAATCCACTGGGGATAGCCCGGCCTGCGCGACGGGCTAAAAAGACAGAGACGCTTGATGACTGGGTAAAGCCCCGCCCGCCCAAGCGGCCTCGGAAGCGTCCCGGCAGGGAGTACTACGAGGAACTCAGTCGCTCAACCGCTGCCAATGCAGCAGCGCGTGCCGCAGCAGCTAAGCCTCCTAGAAAAGTTGATCCTGATTTGCCTGCTCCAACCATCGAGAACGCCAACGAGCTGCTGCTACCACCTCATGACGGGTTCGACAAACCTGATGTCAACCAACATTGGCAGGAGCAACCACCCCGCCCACAACCCCAGGGGGGTGCAGGGGGAAATGGGCAGCAGCAGGACGAGAGATGAATGGCCAGCTGCTGGGGCCGCTACAGCTTCCAGACCAGCATGATGCTGTAGAAGCTGCGCCTGCGCCGGATGCAATCCATCCAGCAATACAGCGCCAATACACGACGCCCGTTGGTTTGGCTAGGGAGGCGTGCAGTGTGTTGTCAGTCAGGGAAGGCTGTTGTCACGGAAGAAGAAGAGATGGCGAGGTTACAGAAACTTCTAGATGCCGCTGATCCTCCACCCAAGTGAAGGCGTCATGTGTAATGCTTGGCAGGTCGGCCATTGTCCTGGAAGGAAGCTGGGCAGCAGCCTGAAACGGAGGAATCTGACGAAGGCCAGAGCAGCGGAGAGGAGGAGGAGGAGCCCATGGCACTCGATGAGGTGTTTGAGCCCGTGTTTGAGGTCGGGGGAGAGCCCCTCGATGTGGAGGGAGACGGGGTGCCCTGGGTGGATGTCTCTTGTGTATGGAGACTGTGTACTGTGGACTTCCACGTGCTCGATGAAGTGTTTGAGGTTAGGGGTCTGCCGTATGCAAAACTTGGATTCTTTTCTTTTGCAAAACTACCTGATAATTATTTGTATGTTTGGGAAGTCTATTTGTAAGGTCAGATTTACAATTGGCGATGACCGGCGCTTTCTGGCTGGGCAGGGCGATGCCCTTCGGCCTGGCCCTGAAGGCCCCACACAGGTTTGGGGTCTGGCACAGGCAAAACTCGAATCCTTATACTGTAAAGTTTTACCTGGATAGCCCATTTTCATGAATGGGGCGTCTATTTTCATCAGGACTGTTACTCCCACATCTATACTAACCTTGTATTTTAGTATTATTGGAGCTTTCCATACAACCTTTGGGCACTTGACCGAGGTTTAGAAACAGACGCCATGACTGCATTTTTGGGGTTATGGCCCTGCTTGGCGGCATGGGCCCCACTCCCCCCCCCCTTAGCACGTGGGGCGCCCGACAGCCAGCCACTCGCTCATCGGAGGCCGGAAGTGCGCCAGCGTCTCTCACTGCAGGTGCTTACGTCCCGTCGTCGTTGCGAAGGTCTGCATCCATTCAGGCGGCAGACGTAGGCTGCTTCTCAATTATGTTGTAAGCGCCGCCATACCAGCCCCCCCCCGCAGCAAGCCTTAAGACGGCTTATTGAAACGCGGCCGTAGGGGACTACCTATTACGCTAGGTTCGTACATTCGTCAGATCGTACATGACCATTTAACGCTAGGGACAACGAGAAAAACGGTAAAACTTTTCACGCTCGTTTAAATGGTACGACGAGAAACCACTTCCCAACCTGTCCCGTTCACACTGCATAACATGAACCCACCTCATACGCCAAACCTATTTCCTTTTTTTAAACTGTAAGACGTACGACGTGTACGACTAGGTGACGGTATTGGCTCGGACCCAGACATGAAAGGACCGCGGGCGGGCAACCCTGCCGGTGAGCTGAATGGCACCCTTCCCAAACTCTTGCTCAGCCCCACTCAGCCACCTAGATCACCACATTGCCAACCAACCTAACGCACTCTTCAACACTTCCAAAGCGAGGAAAGGATTGCGGCGCGGTTTTTGGCTACCGGGTCTCATACCTGGCGATTGGTTTCCTGAGTGCTCAGGGCGGTCATAACACCCATAACGGTTAATGCAAATGTTTTGGTTGTCTATCGAGGTCAAATTATGTTACGGCGTTTTTTCACCACTTTTGGGCCCTGCTCGTGCCCCTGCCCCTGTCTGGCGCTGGACGGGATGGGAACCTAACGGTCTCTCCTTGACCGTGAGCTCCACAGAGAGAAAGAGAAAGAGAGAAAAACGTTTCCTTGACTTTGATTCATCCGGCTACGGCTACGTGGGTGACGTGGGTGAAGAATGGCCTTTTACGCCACACGGTGTGGTTTAATCGCTTCATCCGGTTCAGATGGATTTGAGTGCATGAGGGGCGACGAAATGCAGCCTACAGTGCAGGCCGCTGCGTTCGTCAGGGTTTAAGCTGGTGGTTACGGTGGTGGTTGTGATGGTTACGGTGGTGGTTATGGTCCGAAACGTGTGAAACGAGAACGAAAGGATCTGGCCTTTCCTGAAGCCGCTCCCTGATGGCCGCTGGTGTTCCCCTCACTCGCTGGTGCACGGACAGACAGACAGACAGGCTCTCCCTATACCTGTTTACAGTGCCGACCCCTCCCCAGTACAGCCACACTCGTAAGGTTGCCATGTTGCACAGATGGTGGCCACATACGCCACTTCGCCGCCACACTGCCGCCACAGTTGCCGCCTAGAGAAAGAAGAGACCGACTTATCAGCCAAATCAGACAAAAAACAAAGAAGAAATAGTCACGGGAATCTGTACGAACCTTCTCGTCCCGTACATATAGACCCAATATCACGCAATAACAACAGCAGGAAAAGGAGGTGTGCAGATGCTCAGTACCAGCTCAGTAAAACCCATTCCGTCAGAACCGCATCCTTCATCGCGGTTCAATCGGATTCAATCAAAGCAAGCGAGCTTCGCTGCCGGGCGCCGCTTAATTTCAAGACATGTCGTACGCTCGCCACCGCATATCTCGTACATCTCACATCCCTCACCCTCGCCCTGCATCACCTCACCTCTCATCAAAGCTCATCAAACAATCCAATCACCAAGGATCAGATCCAAAATCTGCTTCGGCCCCGTCATCATCATCATCTCTCCTTCTAGGTCCATAACTCGCATCAGAAGCGTTGCACCACCTGCCGTACAAGTACGAGCGCAAAAGGCCACCAACTCCGCCTCTCTGCCCTCCCCTTCCCTTGGCAGCAGCTTCACTCGTTCGTGGTTCGTCTTCCCCTCCCCTATCCTCTACGTTGGGCCGAGCTGCACATTGGCCCCTCCGCCAGCTGACGGCGGGGCGGCAGTAGCAGTACCGGCACCGGTCGCCAGAGACATTGACCTGGGGGGTGTAGGTATATTGTTTGTTTGTTTGTGTACGTGTGTATGTATGTAAGTATGCAAGTATGTAGAGCATGTATGTATGTGCAGTAGCTGGTACACAGTTCGGCACACACAACATGTACAAATACGCGCAAAACGCTCCACGAGCATCTCGAGAGGCCTTTTCAGCAGCGGCCAGCAGCTAAAATATGTATATGTATATGTATGTATGTATGTATGTATGTATATACGTAGAATGTTGGAAGCGGCAGTACACTTCTCACGATGTAGGTGATCATAATGCAGCTGATGATGGGGAGTTGAAGGTGGTGATGGACCCGCCGACGTACATACAGCGGGACGACAAAACCCACGTCGTATGTTTCTCCCCCCTTTACCCCCGGCCCCCCCCCACACACACACACATACAAGCCCCGCCGCCGAGCAACTCAGGCGACAAATGAGGCGGTGGCGGATCAAGCCCCATTTGCGAGTGAGTCAACGCCTGCGCCTCCCCGCCCTTCCCCCCCCGCCCTTACTTGCGAAGGTGGGCGTACTTCTCATCCTTGTAAATGTACGAATCGTGGATGTCCTGTTCAGGTGTTGGGTGCGGACGACGGATGGTGATGCTGACGATGATGGTGATGATGTTTAGGGCTAAAGGAGATATTACATGATTTTACAGAATGGATGAATAGATGGATAGGTAGATGGAGGCAGAGACAACACATACATGTCTCTGTCTGTTATGTCTGTCTGTCTGATATGTCTGTCTGATATGTCTGTCTGATATGTCTGTGTATATGCTGTGCTGCTAGTGGCTACTACTATGACTATTACTGCTACTGCTACTGCCGCTGCCCACTGCCCCACCTCCAGTCGGCGAATGGCGAAGGGGTTGATGCCCACCGCGTCACGGCCGTTGGCCTTCAGGCTCTCCTGACCAAACACATGCAGCCCCTGGTCGCGAAACTGCTTCACCCAGTCAGTGTCCCTGCGCGACACATACATACAGAGCGACAGACAAATAGACAGACAGACAGACCGCATGACACAAACAACAGGACGCATGCGCCTACTACTTGTACACCCAGTTGCGACAAGCAGCAGGAAATACTTACAAACCTACCTACCTACATACATATAAACCTTTCCGCGACTCTTTAATGTTGCTGTCTAGCCTTCAGTCCGGCCGAAACAACAAAATTCCAGAGGCACTACACTGCACTACACTACGGCACAGCATTCCTGCGATCAAAACCCTTTAAACGGCATAGCGCCCCCCCCCTTCAAACATCAAGCTGCAAAGCAACATCAAGCTACGGCACACACCTTACGAATTAAACAGGACAGTCACTAAATGTCCCTACCTACCTACCTACCTAGTGGCCCCGTTCCTCTTCCCCCGAGGTTTCTCCCTTCCCACAAACCTCAAAACACATCGCCCCCCCGGAGCCCCTGGTGGCGCGAGGGGGAGGGGAAAAGGGGAAGCTCTCCCCTCCACGTACCCCCCCTCCCCCACCCCCCCTCCCCACTTACCCGTTCACCGCGGACACGAACAGGCTGATGGCGGGAATGGCGAGGAAACCGGTCGCTATGAGCACAAACGGATTGTTGCGCGTCGTCCTGTATGTATGTACGTGTGTACGTGTATGCATGGGCCGGAGGAAGTGTATGCGGGTGAGGAGGATTGATGAGATTTCCATTCTCCACAGCTGCTGCCCATACGCAAAGAGCGGGGGGGGGGGACTCCCCCCCCACAGCCCCTGTACGACACGCACCAACACACCCTCCACCCTCTTCCCAACCTCCGCTGGGTCCCCCCCAATACACACATACATACACACACACTCACACGTTTCCCACGTCGGCTGTGGACCATTTTGCTTCTCCTGCACAGGATTCACCCTTTCCCTAAAACAACCCAACCCTAAAACCCAAAACCCCTTTCCCACCCTCCACATCCACTCCTCTCGCTCTCAATACACACACATATACACACAAACACGCACATCTGCGACCTGTTCCCCTATCGCGGCTCAGGTTAACCAGGAAAACACATCCCCCCACCCCTCCTGCTCACCGGAACATGGCACGGTAGAAATCCCACTCCGTCGCGAAGCCGCCATAAGGCCCTCCGCACCGAACGGGGCCGCGCTCCCCAAAATCCATACCCATGCCATGAGCCTGGTAGTAGGCCCGTGCGTATCTGTGTGTGTGTGTGTTTTGGGGGCGGGGAAAGGGGCACACAGCCGGTCGGGGTGGGTGGGAGGGGTAAAACACGTGATGGCGAGAGAGGCAAGGACGGCCAACACACATGTGTCGTGACCAAAGCCCAAAGCCGCAAAAGCTGCTGCCGGAGCTCCGAGCGGTGGTTGTGGTATGTGGTTGTGGTAATGTGGTTGTGGTAATGTGGTTGTGGTAATGTGGTTGTGGGTAATGTGGTTGTGGTAATGTGGTTGTGGTAATGTGGTTGTGGTAATGTGGTTGTGGGTAAGGTGGCTGTGTGTAAGGTGGTTGTGGGTAGATGGGTTGGAGGGTTTTACACACCTAAAACTTCGTCCTTACACAAGGTTTAGTGCCGTACTTGGGATTGGGACGGGAGCCTGGAGGTGGTACGTTGTAGCCAGCCTGGCCTGTACAAGGGTAAGATGCGGTTATGGCAGTTGTTAGTTGGTGCAGTGATCGTTGACCGCCGCGGCCTTGACGGCGCGGCCGCGCACCACCCTTACCGAACAGAATTCCCTCGAGGGAAAACCCGAATGGCAAACCCTAAGTTAACAACTTACCTCGCAGAATGGCGTCGTAGGCCTCCTTGATTTCACGAAAACGAGCCTGTACGACAAGCCGTACATATTCAGACGGCAAAAAGGCGACCGCAGGCGGCTTATTTGTGACGATGCTTGTGTAATATTTTGTTAATAAGGAAAAGAGAGACACGAAGAAGGGAGACGGAGATAGGAAAATATCGGTTGGAATAATGTCGTACGCAACGTGCCGTACACGGTTACCGCTTGCACGTCCATTTTGGATCGGGGCTGCTACTGCATGTTGAGGATTGGACAGCCAGCGTTTCTTTCCTCGCTTAGTTAGTAAAGGTGTTGCCAACTTTATTCCGGGCAAAGAAAGCTCAAAAATGATTTTACAGGTCAGGCTGATAATTCCCCATATATTCCCCATAATTCCCCACAATAATTCCCCAACCGTTTGAGGCGCTAGGGGGCCGCTTCCACCCCAGATTTTTCTTATTTCCCCCCTCCCCCCACACACAAATTGCAAACTTCATTTGCAGCGCCGGGCCACATCTGGGCCTTATGTGGCTCCTCTGCGTTAAAGGAACCGCAGCTGGACGGAGTCAGGAATCCTCGTAAGACTCTCTTTACCTCCACATAGAAATAACGGCCCAGCTGGAGGTGCGGTACGACACGTACGACAGATAATACACACCTCGGCTACAGCTCGTTGTGCAGGTGGCACCTTGTCCGGATGACATTGCTTACACAGCCGAACAAATGCCTCCTTTACCTGCGGATCGTGGTCGTGGTCGTGATGGTGGTTTGTTCGGGTTGGATGCGATGGTGGGTGCAAAGGCAGTAAAAAACAATGGGGTAGCAAGGGTGGTGCGTCCCACAGAAGTTGCCCGCCAAGGCTTGTTTGAGATGCGATCACATATCGGTGACAGGCTTTTCGGCCAGTGACAGGAATAAGATGCCGTACGGCATGGCCACATGCTGGTACATGTATGGCCGTGTGACAGAAGCTGTGTTATCTCATGTTGTATTATAGCAGATATGTGCATCATATATGCCTGTTCGGCACTTCTGCAAGTTAGGTCGCTCCGATGGTGGGTCGCCCCAGCCCAGAAGGAGCTCGTTGTTGTGTCGCAGATGAAGGCTGATCTGATCGAGACAAGAAGAGCCTCATGCGCATTGAGGCAGTCAATACAGCTAGACGTCCTGACTTCGACGCAGATCAATTGCCCAATGCGCTCGGAATGGTAACCACGAAAGGGTGCGGAGTCTGGCCAAGCACACAGCCCAGCGATTCCAGCATGCCAAGAGGAGCCCAGGCTGTTGAGGCCACGACGCGAGTAACGGAGGGCACGCAGTCGGAAACGTGGCATGCGCACTACTTCATGCGCTAACCATGGAGAAGTGACTTCGACGGGCGCGGCCTTCACCGTGCATGCCTCAATTTTTGCTCGGTGGCGGAAAGCGCTGCGCTTAAGTCCGAGCTGCGTGCCGAAAACGCAACCATACATACGTGTTCAAGCATGGATGTACCCTGCCTAACGGGTGCAAGGGTGCATGCAATTCTGGTTCAGAACCCGAAGAGCAAGGTAGGTTTGCATGTTAGGCATGGAGGTGGATCAGGCAAAACCAAGGAGCAGCTAGGTTGAAATGCGATTGCCCCACGGTATGCCCACAGCCCAACCCAACCCGCCTCATAACTCAACTAAAATCAATGACAGCAAAAAGAGCACCCAAGCTCACTTCTGCCTTGCTTGCCGACGACAAGACGCCAAGCTTGCCATACGCCGCAGCCAGCTCAGTCGTAGGCATAATGTCCAAGAGAACTTTCCTTTCACCGTTACTGTACCAGAAAGACCAGGGCCTGAAACACCGGTTTCCTACTGTGTTGAACGATAGCTTCAAAGTCAAATGGTTCTAATCATGACATATCGATAAAATTCTATGGCCCATAATAATGCCTACACGACGCTCAGCCAACTTGATTTTGTATTGCCAAGCGTACAAGCAATGAACGTGAACACATTGCATCACGTCACTATCCCAACGGTTGCTCCGTTTTCGGAAACGGTTGTCGTACATGCTACTTGTACCATGAAGGTACGGTTTGTAGGAGTCATCGTGCATGAAATCTATTGGGCGAGATCAAATGAAATTGACATTCTGGCCCGCACAGAAGTATGAGGGCTGCTAGCAGAGGGAAAACATCTCCTTGCTCAAGAAAGACAAAAGTATGCATTAATTTCGCCCAATGTGGGGCTCGAACCCACGACCACAAGGTTAAGAGCCTTGCGCTCTACCGACTGAGCTAACCGGGCTGCAATCCTTGCGAATTTCACTTCTTATAATCCTAGGACATGAACCTAACATTTCCTTTTCATCGCACCGCGTACCGAACCCGAACACTGTATGTATAGGCCATGCAAGACACGCCACATGTACAAAGCAAGCCCGCGAAAACCTCCGCACCATAGCAAGTAAAGACGCAAGCAATCTAGAGCAACAAGGGGATTTAGGGTATCGTACCATTGGCACCATCCTAGCCTTCTTAAGCCTGCGGGTGTTGAATGGGTGTGTTCTACCACAACGCACGCTACCACCCGGTCAAGCAAGGGATTACATATAAATTAAGACAATACGTAAGGAAGCCCACGGCTCTGTACCTGAAGAAAGAGGTGGCTATCGTTTGGATGCACGGCATTCAGCATGTAGGGATTCTGACATCCGTAGCCTACATGCTCATGTACCAACGAATGTGGGTTACTGGATTCTACACTCCGTGATTCGGGGTTCCATATGTTTGGATCTTGAGCTACAAGGCCAACACTGTGGTGGCCCACGCAGTGCACTCTCCGGAGTGTCACGGTCTGCTGTCTCCAGCGGCTGGAGTCCAGCACCACGCTCCGTGGTGTCGAGCCCCTGGATACCTGTAGGGTTGCTGAGCCGTACAGTCCAGTCCCGGCTTGTGAGGGAGTGAGACAGTTTCCACCACCGAGCAGGGCAGTTCTGTAATGTGTAGCCCTCAAAAATAGAATAGCATAGAATTAAATCATAGGAAGCTGACGTTCTGATATGAAGCAAGCCGATTTCCAAATGAGATGAAACATCAGACCAGGCTAAGGGCAAGTCTAATGTCGGCTTCCTCGAAGCCGACAAGTTGGGTGGCGGCTTCCTTGAAGCCGAAGGAAGGGCGGGTGCCCCTCTGCATCCGTACAGGCTGGTAGCTAGGGTGGCAAGTGTGACAATTGATGGGTAGTGTCAACATGGTGGGAGCTAGTGTTTGTGTAACGAATGTATTTTCGAGCGATTTCGAGACTGCTCCGTGGCACACCCATCGGACCACCGACCTCGAGACACAACTACTGCCGGTCAGCAGCAGCAGATCGAGCAGCAGTACTAGTTTGAGGTGTCCATGTCGGAAGTTACGACTGTATCACGCTACACGGGTGGTGGCTGCGTTCGAGTTCTGGGAGCCGTCAGGCGACCACCACGAAGGTTCTCCGCTGAAATATGAGGAGGAACCGCAGGTGGAGTCTGCAGCGGGTGGCAGTTGAGCCACCGTGCAAGGAGCCGCAGATGGGGGTGCGTGTAGTTGTCTCCTGCATTCTTAATTACTGAGCGTTTGTTTAGAGCCACAGCTCTACCTATGTATTGCTTGCAGCTGCAGTACTGTAGACGTCGTCTACTTGCCTATATGTTCACATCGGATCTACTCAGGACTGCATGTCGGCCCACCGTGCGAATGACAGTAGGGAGTGAGGCGGACGTAGCCGCGAGCCCGCCTCTGCGCTGTGTTTCGGCCTCCGGTCAGGGTCCTGCGCGGTGATCGTCCTTTCTCGGGACAAGCCGCCCACAGTGTAACACCCCATCATCAGTAACAACGGACCGCATATTTAATTCGTCGGCAACGTGTACTTTGTTAGGAAGCAAAACTTGCCATACCTTATGACATATATATTACAAATCAAACGGGACTCATTCCCAGGGACCCGCCTTTCGTGGGTTTCGCTGAGTCTGACAACCAGAGACAACCAACGCAGCTACACATCGTTTCCTTTAAATACGATATCCATAATTTAGTTCCACATTTTCTTTGCGGTTTGTTTGCAGACAGTACGTTTGCCATGGATGGAAGTAAGCGTACTGACAAATAACTATGTACGGTGTTGTCTGTGTTTTTGGAATAGCAAGTCTGAAATCAGGCATTCGCGATTAACTTATATTTATACATATTCCTCTGTTCATGTCTCAAGTGCTCTGATCATATCCTCCCTTCCGTTAAAAGCACTTTGCAATACCGGTCTTACGGCTATCAGCACAGTCCCAGGCCTATTACACAGTAGATACCACTTCATACGTAACTCTTTTTCCAGTGGTCAAACTAGGCTGTCAAGTCGTTGCTTCAACGTAAAGGCATAAGGTTCCCATATGCCAGGCTTCCCTTGCGTCTATGTTGAGCTCGTTTAGACCTTGGGTGTGTAACGTCATGCAGCGAGTCATTGTTAGCTCCAGCGCGGCTGGCCTGCAGGCTGCGTGCGTTTCGCTGCAACGTTCCCGAGCCCGTACGCATGCAGCAGCTGTACACGTGAGGCCAGCGCTAAGTTGGGGCGCAACGCTAAGGCGGAGCTATGCTGCCCCATCCCACGTAGAGGAGGTCCCACAGCAGCATCCCCATCTCGAGGCTCGGTATGCCATCGAGCTGCCGCATTACGAGCCCAGGGACAATTCTGACATTGAAGAAGTCTTTGGAAATGTCCACTCGACGGAGTCCTTCAGCGCAGTTGACGGGCCTGGCGTCCGGTAAGTGATGCTCTCGGAACACTTTTTACATGCTTAGGTAAGCAGTACAGCTCAACAGACTTCTAAACCTGATAATAAGGGATGCTGTAAGATTATTATGTAAAAGCGATATGTAGTGCGTATAACGCAATCCTATCAAACATATGTCTCTCTCTGCATGCTCCTTCTCCAGCTTCACCTATACTTCCTATTCCGCTACGCATCCGTTCTGTGTTGCTCCGGTCCTCCTCCCCTGCTATTGCCGCAATGGTTCTTCTCACCCAGTCTCTCCCCGGCAAAGTCTTACGCTGGGGTAATAATCTCAATAGTGCAGGGGGAGGGGGTGGAGGGGAGTGACACACGTCCACTAACAATAATAGCAACAAACGTGAAAACGTGAACACGTCCACTGCTGCCCCAAAGTGGTCCGTTAACCTCCGAAAAGTAAAACAGAGACGAGGGACACGCATCGGCCAACCGTAACCAAACATAAAAGCCACCCGCCGGCTCCAGAACCAAGGACGCTCGTCCATCGTAAATGTCACCTTTTTCGGGTTTCCTCGCATGCTTAAACAAGCGATTACGTTTTCCTCAACTTCCCGCACGTCCTTCCGCCTCCTGCCGTACAGCTTTCTGGTATTCGTACAAGGTTGCGCCATGCGGTGTCTGTTCTGCTCAAACCCGGACACTTGGAACATGAAGGGCGGCACTAGGACCTCCAGCAAGGAGCTGGCGGAACAAATCAAAAAGGTAATGCGTAAAGAGCTCTCAGGGGTTTTAGGGCTTTGGGGGAGTGTTGGTTGCGAGTGTTGTTTTACTGTGGGTTGAGCTGGTTCGGTGTGTTTGAGTGTGTACATGCAGAAGGTGAACATTAGGAAGATGGGAAAAGTGGGTTTGGGGGGAAGTGGGTTTGTCGTATATACCCATTGCCAGGCTTCCCGCCTTGACTTCATCCATCGTATCAAAACCCTTCCCCCCTCCCCCCCCCTCAACCCCCGGATGAAGGTCCGCAACTACCTCAAACCCCGGGGGGGTGTCACCATATCAGGGGGTGAGGCCATGCTGCAACCCAAGTTCGTGGCTGCTGTGTTCCAGGTACGATGCAGGAGGAGACTGTACGACACATGGGAGGATGTGTTTCGGTGGGGGGGGAATGGGGAGGGGTTGGGACGATGGGAGCTGACAGGGGAGAAAAGGGGGATTCACTCGAAAACACCATCGCCATGCATTTTTTGCCCGCCCCAACCCCCTCCCGCATAGACCCATGGTGTCCCGTATGTCGTACGTCTGTCGTACGTGTGTATAGCCCTCAGTCTTTGCAGCCCCTGCCTAACTCCATTTCCGAAACTCGCCATCCACTTCTAACCCTGACATCTTCACCGTCACCCCGTCTCAGCCTCATGCATACATACCTCTAACCCCCTTCTCCCCCTTCATGGGCATACATACATACATACATACATACATACATACATACATACATACATACATACATACATACATACATGGGCATATATACCAGGGTTTGGTAAGCAGTGTTTTTTTGGTAATATATTACTTTTTTGGGAATAAATGGTGGTAAGGCGCGACCATTGCCCCCGGGAGATCCCGGGATCGATACCCATTAGGGTCAAAAGTCCTTCCGATGGTGGAAGGCATTGCGCCCCTAGTTGATGGACGGTGGTGACCTGGGATAAAGTTAACTTGCGAGCCGACCAGGAATGGAGTTGGGCCGCTGTCGACCCGGCAGATTCCGTTGGATGCTGGTGGTGGGTGCGGAACCTGAGCGATCCACTGAGAAGTTGACTAGGGTGACTGGATGAGGGTGCGCCGAAATACCGGGGAAGGCAGGGTTTCGCAGGGTAGCTGCCACGGGCGAAGATACACCCCCCTATTTCACACATCATACATTCATACATACACACGCAGGAAGTACACGCTCTGGGCCTCAACACCACCATCGACACCACGGGCCAGGGTACGAAACACGGCAACTGGGATGTCGTACTGCCGCACACGGACCTGGTGCTGTTCTGCATCAAGCACATCGACCCGCTAAAGTACGAGTCGATCACAGGTAGGCGACACGTACAGTACGGATTCGTACCGCATTTACACGTATATATATGTATGCATTACGTATGTATGTATGTATGTTTCCGGTACGCGCCGCTCTCACCGCTCTCAGGTCTGAAGCAGAAGGGCGCCCTCCGCTTCGCTGACGAGCTGGCGGATCGCAAGATCCCCTTCTACCTTCGCTACGTGTACATCCCGGGGTACACGGACGGGCCCAAGGACATCGACAAACTGATAGAGTGGTGCAAGAAACAACCCACGTTCCAAGTATGTATGTTATGTATGTGTGTACATCTGTACTGGCGTATGCGCGTGTGTGTGTGTGCATGCGTGCGTGTACTCGTGTTTTAAAGTGAACTGGTTCGCGCGAGCACTCCGAAAACTCGCAACCCGTTGTAGACTGGAGCCCCTTGCGGATGAATTGATGTGAATTGATGTGAAAACATGCGAGTAGGGTAAGCAGTAGTAGTCGTGGTAATAGGGGGGGAGGAGGTGCTGCACACGTGCTGCAGAGAACTTAAGAGGGGAAAGCTGAATGAAGTGATCACTTCCGTAATTTGAGGTCGTGAGTAGCGTTTTTTGGTACTAGAGTTGGCATTGATTTGCTTATTGGCGGAATAGCTGAATCAATGGCTGATTTGATGATGGCGCTGGGGGTTGTACGGGGTTGTACGGGGAGTGAAAGATGAAGCGAAAGGAAGAGCCGAAACGAGGGGGAAGGAGTGACAGTCGGTGTAGCTGTGGCGATATGGAGTATGGAGTAATGCTGGGTGTGTTTGTATGTATGTCTCTGTATGTTTGTGTGTGTGGCTGGGATGGGAGTGGGGTGTCAGTGTGTGTGTGTATGTATGTGTGTACCTGTCGGCACGTGGGGAGATGGGAAGGAAAGAGGAAGGGGGGGGAGGAATGGGGGAAAAGAGGACTAAAGGGGGGTTTGCATGTATGTGTATGTGTGTACATATGTGTGTGTACACATGCACATACACACGCACACGCACACATCGCCCTCGCCGCGATTTTCCTCCTTGACACTGCCGGGTTACCCCCTGTGTCTCTTATCTATCTGCCGTACCTCCCGCAGCCTCGTTGCCATTCCAATTTCCCAAATTTCCTGCCCGCCCCCTCACCTCCTAACCCCCTTGCTTGTCCCGCGCTGTCCCCACCCACACAAAAGGGCATCGAGTTGCTGCCGTACCACGTGCTGGGCCGCAATAAGTGGGAGGTAATGCACATTCCGTACCCCCTGGACGGCGTTCGTACACCCTCCCATGAGACCGTGAGCAAGGTCATCAAGAACTTCAACGACAACGACATTCCGGTAATCTGCGCCAACTGATACGGTACGAAATTGTACGTTGTACGTAATAAATAACGTTACGGTTCGTTGGTAGTTGTTCTCGATACGGATAAAAAAAGGAAGGATCTTTTCGTGTCGTAGAGTGCCGAGCTTTCAAGAAGGCA